TCATGTGTTACAAAGAAGAAATATTTGAGGTCTATAGATTTGAAAGAGCTTCAAATGGACAACCTAGGATTTACACGTTTGGTCTTCCCACTCCACTACAATCAGTAAAGGTTCCCAATGACCCAACCAAAGCTCCAGTGCCTCCAGTCCCACCTGCTGAAAACAATGACCAAAGAATGAGACTCCCAAAGTATTCCCCACTTACTTGGTATACTGCGAAGTGGGGGAGGAGGTACATTGTTAATAGCAATCATGTGAGACAAAATAGCTGCTGGAAGAGTGGACATAGGCATCTTGACGTTTTAAAGGCAGGTGATCAGAGGCTGCTAGGGAGGGAAATAATCACTCTTCTCTGGAAGCATCATAAAGTGGAATCTTCAGGGACTCTCTGATAGGCTGAGTCCTATGGAATGATCTTGTTCAGAGTTCTGATACAGTGTTGGTACAGCGTTTCCAAGAGTGAAATCTAGATGGAAAAGAACTATATTCTAGTCCAATGCCATTTATGAGGGGGAATGTGTGAGCTACAGGGAGTAGTAGGAATGAAGAAGGCAATTGTAACCCACAAGGTAGATACAGAATCAACAGCACTCGTAAGTGTAGTTTAGAAGAAAGAATTCATTCATTCCACTGGTCTTCCATAGTCCAGAGCCCTTTTCTTGCCTACCAAATGTTTACAATGGACATCACAGAATATTTTTGTAGCAGCAGCAACAGATATAGATCGATATCTATCTATCTATCTATCTATCTATCTATCTACAGATAGCAGATAACAGATATAGAATATAAATACTATGCTCCATGGCTACACACCCAGGGAAAATCATCCTTTTTTATTATCTTACTCCTCTGTATACTTAACCACATTCTTCTGGAGTGTGGGATATGATCTTCGATAATTTTGTACTGTGTCACAATAATCAAAGCTAGCTACAACAACTAGCATTTAGAATCCTAATTAGAACATCTTTTGAGTTTGTGTGTCATCTTCAAGATCTTTAAAACATTTGCCTCATGTCATAACTGTAATGGGTTATATAATAAAGGCTTTTTTGACATTTGAGCCATTCTAGTAAAGTCTAAACCACTTATTGATCAATTTCATGTAGATAGCACTAACAACTACAACTGAAAATATTAGTTGTATTATAAATTTATCTTGCAAGCAACTATTGGTTTGCATCTGTACAAAATAGCTTACTCCAATATAACTTTTCACTGGAATATATTTTCCATCCCCAGTTTTACTAACTCTGGACTCACTGTAGACTGAGTTTTCTTGAATTTCATCATGGTTCTTTATCTTATACTTATTCCTCACTAGCTAGCTACCTTCAGTTGCCTGGCTCCCACCCTAGAATGAAACTGTGCCATTCCAACGCCATCCCTTAGTCATCCCTTATGCCTTTTTCAGAAGTCAGCCTTGATCCATTCTCTTAACATTTTCAAAGAACTGATGACCTCCATGAAAGCTAGTTATAGGGGCCAGCCCTGAGGCATAGCAGGTAAAGCTGTCGCCTGTAGTGCTGGCATCTCATATGGGTGCTGGTTCCAGCACCAGCTGCTCCACTTCCAACCGAGCTCTCTGCTATGGCCTGGGAAAGGAATAGAAGTTGTCCCAAGTGCTTGGGCCCCTGCACCCATGTAGGAGACTCAGAAGAAACTCCTGGATCCTGGCTTTGGATCGGCCCAGCTTGGGGAGAGAATCAGTGGATGGAAGACCTCTTTCTTTCTCTCTGCCTCTGCATCTCTGTAACTCTTGATTCAAGTAAATAAATAAATGTTTAAAAATAAAGTTAATTACATATTATTCTTTAAGTTTTATAGATATTAAGCATATGGGGCCATATAGAATTTTTTTCAGCTTTTCCCAAGCATTCTGATCAAATGAAAGAAAAGATTTTTAAGATTTTTAGTTCAGGCCGGTGCCACTGCTCAATAGGCTAATCCTCCGCCTGCGGCACCAGCACCCTGGGTTCTAGTCCCAGTCGGGGCACCGGATTCTGTCCCGGTTGCTCCTCTTCCAGTCCAGCTCTCTGCTGTGGCCCGGGAGTGCAGTGGAGGATGGCCCAAGTTCTTGTAGCCTGCACCCACATGGGAGACCAGGAGAAGCACCTGGCTCCTGGCTTTGGATCAGCATGGTACGCCGGCTGCATCGGCCATTGGGGGGGGTGAACCAACGGAAAAGGAAGACCTTTCTCTCTCTCTCTCTCTCTTACTGTCCACTCTGCCTGGCAGTTCATGCTCATCAATTTTCTTTCTTATCTCATCAATTCTTATTTGCTGCTTATTTTTACTTCATTTCCATACTGTCACTTTTTTCTAGTATTTAACATATGATTAACCCAATAGACTGAGAGCTATATAGCACTGAACTAATTTCATATCAAACTACTACTTGCTTGAAAATAATTTTTGAAAAGGAAAATATGAGAAAGTACAATACAACAAAGTGAGAGACTTTAGGAAGAAGCAGTAAAATAAACAAAATAATTATATATATATATATATATTTCTGTAATCATGATTTTGTGTGAGCATCTGCCAATATCTACTTGTGTTTCCTGAGAAAATTCATTGAATCACAAATTCAGCTCCCTCCAAATTCTTTCCAATGTATTCAGAATCTCATTGAAATTAATCTAAGAACAATAACACAATCACATGGTTTGTCATTTTTACAAAGGGATATTAAATTAATTTCCAAAACCTAGACATCCTCATAATTCTAATCATATCTCAACCACTTATTTGTAAAATTATCTTGAGCAAGTCATCTAATATCTGCCTTGGTGTTGATAATGTTCTGTACACAATAGGTATGATGACAATACCTCATATAAATCTTATGACAATTAAATAAAATAATGTAAATAAATATCCTAGCATAGCGTCTAGATATAGTAATCACTCAGTTTGTATTTTGATTAATAATAATATTATTTTTACTGCTGAGGTAACACTGGACAAATTCAAATGGATTGCTTTTTAAATATTTTTTTTCAAATATACATTTCATGTGGGTTCTATCCATTCCTGCCACACAGTCAGTAGCAGTGCTCATATATTATGTGCTCATGGTTTCTTTTTTTTTTTTTTTTTTACAGGCAGAGTGGACAGTGAGAGAGAGAGACAGAGAGAAAGGTCTTCCTTGGCCATTGGTTCACCCTCCAATGGCCGCCGCGCTTATCTGAAGCCAGGAGCCAGGTGCTTCTCCTGGTCTCCCATGCGGGTGCAAGGCCCAAGAACTTGGGCCATCCTCCACTGCACTCCCGGGCCAGAGCAGAGAGCTAGACTGGAAGAGGGGCAACGGGGACAGAATCTGGCGCCCCGACTAGGACTAGAACCCGGTGTGCTGGCACCGCAGGCGGAGGATTAGCCTAGTGAGCCACAGTGCCAGCCTTGTTCATGGTTCTCAATACAATTTAAGCATTTAATTTGTGTCACAAGAAACAATAATAATCAATTTAATCATGACAATCATCTATATACTATTAGTATTTCTAATTAAATAGTGCTTTAATTAAAATTAATACAATCATATAGACAATTTTAAAAATTATTAAGACAGTTGTATGCCCTAGGCACTAAGACATCTGCTTCCCATTTCAGGGTTTCCAGGTTCAATTCCCAGCACCATCTCCTGACTCCAACTTTCGGGGGACCTGGACTGAGTTCCAGTCTCCAGTTCTGGACACTGTCAGCATCTTAAGGGTCAGTCAGCAGATGGAGCGTCTTGTCTCTGTGTCTGTCTCTTTCTCTCACTCTTGTTCTAACTCATTCTCTCTCCTCTCTGCATCTCAAAGTTTTTTTTTTTTAATTATCAAGACATTAATATAAATGAAAAGTTATTAGACATAAAGCTCATTTATACAAATTGTTATGTTTGTCACTGGCCAATCAGCCCTCTGAAAGGACAATTCATAAATTACATGTGCACATGTCTATAATAACAGAAAATAAGAGAAAATTTTAAATACATGTAAACAGTTATAGTTTAAAATAACACTGAAATTAATAAAAAATCATATAATCTGTATACACTCTTTTTTAAAGATTTATTTATTTATTTGAAAGATGAAGTTACAAAAAGTGAGAGGCAGAATCAGAGAGAGAGCGAGGCCTTCCATCTGCTGGTTCACTCCCCAAATGGCTGCAATGGGCAGAACTGGGCTGATCTGAAGCCAGAAGCCAGGAGCATCTTCCAGGTCTCCCACATCGGTGCAGGGGCCCAAGCACTTGGGCTATCTTCCACTGCTTTTCCAGGCACATTAGCAATACATTAGATCAGAAGTGGAGCAGCCAGGACTTGAATGCTGGCATCACAGGTGGTGGCATAATCGGCTATACCACAGAGCTGGCCCCTCCATATATTTTTATATGGTTAAGTACAGTATTTACTTATTTATGAAATGAAACTAAGGTATTAATTTGTTTCAAGTTATGTCAAATTTGTTAATATAAAACAAACATTGTCATTAATATTGTCAAAAATATTGTCATTACCTTCTGCCTTTAACAATTGCTTTTGTTTCACTTATTATAAATTACTGTGAAGTATATGTTTTATGTCCCTAAAAGAGGGAAGTTTTGAGGCTGGCACTGTGGCATAGCACATAAAGCCACTGCCTTCAGTGCCAGCATACCATATGGGTGCCTGTTCAAGTCCCAGCTGCTCCACTTCCGACCCAGCTCTCGGCTATGTCCTGGGAAAGCAGTGGAAGATGGCCCAAGCTATTGGGCCCCTGCATCCACATGGTAGATCCAGAAGAAACTCCTGGATCCTGCCTTCAGATCAGCCCAGCTCCAGCTATTGTGGCCATCTAAAGAATGAACCTGTGGGTGGAAGACCTCGCTCTCTCTCTCTTTCTCTCTCTGTCGCTTTGTCTCTCTGTAACTCTCTCTCTGTCTCTTTGTCTCTCTCTGTAACTCTGCCTTTCAAATAAATAAATAAATCTTTAAAAAAGAGGAAAGTTTTATTGTGAAATTAATTTATTAGCAATATATACTTCAATTCATCAATATAATAAAGAAATAATCCTATTTTCCATACCAAATCGGCAGCTATATTTTTCCACATATTTTAATATCTTTAATGTACAAATAATAAACTACTTATGGTTTAAAAATCTTATTTTTGATTCATGTCAGTCTTTTATCATAGGTGTACATAAGCAACATTATATTCATATACAAATAGCCAGAACACTTGTAATTGATACACACATTTGAAAAATTCACACTGAATTTCAGTCTCCCCAAAATGATCTTATATTTGAATGAATTAGTTATTTAGCTGAAGGAAAGTACCAAGTTTCTCAGCAAACATATCCACTCACATTTGTATATCATGGTTCTAGA